TCGGTTGGTTGTGCATCTTTTTCCTACCACTCAACTTTCTGTTAACATGCTTGGATACAGCACTCTGTGAACAGCCAGCTTCTTTGGCAATGAATGTTTGTGGCTTACCCTCCTTGTGAAGGGTGTCGATGATTGTCTTCTGGACAACTGTCAGATCAGCAGTCTTCCCCATGATTGTGTAGCCTAGTGAACCAAGCTGAGTGACCACCGTTTTGAGTTGATTTTTTTATAGGTCTTATGAGGTATTCTAATTTATTGAGATGGTGAATTGGTGGGTTTTTGTTAAATGTGGGCCAAAATCATCACAAATAAAAGACCCAACGGCTTAAACTACTTCAGTCTGTGTGTACTGAATGTATATAATACGAGTTTCACTATTTGAATGAATTACGAAAATAAATGGACTTTTCCACGATATTCTAATTTATTGAGATGCACCTGTATTTGGCACTTCAATTAAATCTGACAGTTGGAGAAGCTGCTGTGAAAATTTATTTTACTCCACAGAGAAAGGCTTCCGACACTTATGACTGTAGATAGAATTAAATAAAACAATAAAGTCTAAATGCATTTTTTAAGGTATAACACACACACACACCTGAACTAACTGTAGAAGCAGATAACTACAGTGTACAAAGCTAGAAATAGAATAATCCACAAAATTACAAATCAAAAGTCCAAAAAAAAAAAAAAAAAGACACTGAGGTCCATAGTTAAATAATATAGAAGGGCATGTTATTAGACTTGGGCAGCTACTGAAATTATCAAATGGGGTAGTCCTGAGAAAGAGCTAAATGTAGGCTAGGAATATTTTATTCATAAAATAATGATTTGTAGGTTTATTTTAAAATGTGCAAAATGTTTGTCTTTCATGGGTTTTTGTTCAAGTAAAATACTTAATATTGTAAGACTGCAGATGTAAACAGACCTTTTCTGCTATCACTCAGTAAAATATGAAGTCGGGATGTTTCTGACTATAGATGTGGTTCAATAATTTAGTAGACAGATAATTTCAGTCTAGACTTGTATGAACCGTCTGCCCGTTCTTGTACCATTAGTCATTAACTAATATGAATAAAACACCGTTACATCTAATTCTGTGACAACTTTACAGTGCACCAGTGATACGTACTGACACATATAAAAATGTTACTGACTCAGCCCATTACTGTTGAACAGTTTCAAAAAAATGCTCTCTACCGTACTCAGCAGCTGTACTGTATTTATAATGGCTTGTGAAACAACTGTGTTCCATAGTGCAGGAATTGTTGCTCCCAAGTGAATTAATAGTGCTCTACCTTTTGATCAGTGTTTGACCTGGTCACCAGTGCTAAAGCAGACTAGCTTGTATTTAAGGTCAAATGCAATCATATACCAACACAGGAACAAAATGCTTTAATTATATGTAGTGATTAAAAATGGATTCATATTTTTCTTGCTTCCCTGATGTGACTTTGGGTTCACCATTCTGTTTGATGAAGGCCTGAAATAATAAAACAAAGAACCTTTTAAATTTGGGATCTATGCAATTTATTATTTCATAGCCATCTTCTCTTTCAAGTTTATTGATCTACACTCATTAAAAAGAAATAAAGAAGAGCTCAAGCAGAGTCCTACCTCCATCTCCTCTAGGGTGGCAGAACCATCCTTCACTTTCTGCCCAAGACCATTGCTGAAGCTGGAGTATCGCTCCTGTTAAAATCAGATATAACCACTTATACAGAAAGGAGAATATAACATGTCTCTTAAAAATTATTGAAAATGAAAATCTATTCAACAGTGAATTGGAACTGGCTGCACACATACAGTACCTTCACCATACTGGTGATTAGCCCATCCTCAATGATGCGTACAGCATTCCTGAGTCCTCTTGCAAAGGCATCCATGGCACCGATGTGAGCAATGAACAGATCCTCCAAGTCTGTGGACTCTCTGCGCACCTTAGCATCAAAGTTCAGGCCTCCTGGCTGCAGACCACCTTGTTCAATGATGGTCTGGAAAAGAACATACTTAGGAATAACTTAGATTCCTTTGACACTTTTCTCACCTAAAAGTATCTTGTAAAGTTGATGCAGTACAACTAGAGTGAGAGAGCTTTTTTAAGATGGTAATCTGTGTGTTTGTAAACCAGAGTAATCAACATGGTTATGACCATTAAAGTTGTACAAATCTATATTAATACATTGATTTGATTTGATTTATTCTTTCAAGCATGTAAAATCAGTTGATATGACAACACACATAATTTTACACATAATCCAATATCAATT